TGGGAAAAAACAAAAACGCATGGTGTTGTGATGATTTCGCAAGAGCGCGCGCGTACTTTTTCCGTCATATCAGCGTTGCGAAAGCATGTGAGTTTGTATGTCTGTTTTCTCAAAGGGGAACCTCGATTTTGAAGTCCTTCCGAAACGAGCGGTTTTAGGACGGATTCCGGCATGCGCGCGCGACGACGCGCGCGTGTGCACTTTGCCACATGTTTTGCCAGGGGTTAACCTATGTTTGTATAAACGAACGCGCGCATACTATTTGTTTCAAAGGACGGCGGGGGGATGTTGATACGGGCCTGGTTGGGTTAGTACGAACTCACAGGTAGGATGGGCGAGTGTGCAGAGTACATATGAAATCACAATACCCCAAGGGGGGACCGTTATGTACGGGGGGGGTAGACTCTATTCTTCTTTTAGAAAGGACATTAAATGCTGTTCGCAGTGAACTCTCAGTTCACTGCTCCCGCAACCTACCCATTCGCAAATTGGCTTGCACAACTCATGCGGCGGCGATTGCGATGAGTGCTTGGCGTTGGCTGGTGCATCTCTGCGGCCGCGCTAGCCCGCGCATGCTATCGCGTGAAGCGGCCAACTGGTCTGGCTCGACCGACGCGGCCGCGGTGGCGCTGACCACTGGGCACCTCCCAGCGGGCACTTCAGTGCGCGTCGGCGACTTGAGCGCGCGCGCCTCCATGACAATGTCGGCAAGGGTGAACGCGATGATGATGATACCGATGCTGGTGGCGATGATGTCAGCGACGACGGCAAGGCCAGTGACGGTGCCGATGCTGGTCACGCCGACGACGATGACGGCGCTTCGCGTCGGTGACGAAAGACGCTCGACATGCGCGCGCGGCCGACGCGCGAGCGTGGCCCGCACGGTATTATTTGACACGGATCATGCACCCCCACCCACCCCCACCCCTGCCCAGCACGCGCGCAAGGGCGTTCGAATGATTTCGACATGCGGCGCGACAGGCCCGCTGGGCCGAGTTTAATGAAAATGCTGGAATACAACTTATGAGAGTCTGAGAAAAAAAAAAAAAAAAAAAAAAAAAAAAAAAAAAAAAAAAAAAAAAAAAAAAAAAAAAAAAAAAAAAAAAAAAAAAAAACGCGGGAGAGCACGCGCATGCATGTTTGAAGACTGATGCTGGGAAACTACGTGTGTTTTATATGTTTTCGGAACAGCAGATTTTGAAATCCCTGCGAAGCCCAAGGTTGTTTAGAAGATTCCCGCATGCGCGCACGACGGCTAGCGCGTGCGCACTTCGCCTCATCGGATGCAAGCGGTTATTGCGACACCAGGCGCGCAAGGGGGTCCGAGTGATGCCGACACGCCCACGCGAGAGGCTCATTTGCTAGCATGTGATGCACACGTTGAACAACCGATGGGTTCCTCGTGAATTCGCAGCCGCCCGAGTGCAAGCTGAGTTTGAAAACTCGTGTTGCGAAACCAAGTGCGTTTGGAATGTTTCGGAACATCGGATTTTGAATTCCTTACGAAACCGACCGTGTTTGAAGGGTTTCGGCATGCGCGCGACGACGCGCGCGTGTGCATTTTTCCCCGTCTGCTGCAGGGAACTCTTGAACAACTGATGAATTGTGATAACCGGGTGTGCGCAGATAGTAGCTTGTCGAGGATGAGGGGCCGATACTGGTATGCCTGGAATTGTATAAATTCGTAATGATACAGAATGGACGATGTAACAAACCATGTGTACATTGTCATGCGCGAAAGGGTCCCGTTAATTCCAGAGGGGCCGGAATACTCTTGCAGGAAGGAGAATCTATGGTGTGCAAAAATTACCAATGCTCTACTTGAACTTGACCACTCCACTGCTCGCGCAAACACCCACCCACCCACCCGCAACTTGGCTCGTAAACCCCATGCGGAAGCAATTGCGATGAGTACCTGGTGTTGGCTGGTGCATATCTGCGGCCGCGCTAGCCCGCGCATGCTCGCGCGCGCAGCGGCCAGCTAGCTTGGCGCGACCGACGCGAACGCGATGGCGCTGACCGCTCGGCACATCCCAGCGGGCACTTCAGTGCGAGTCGGCGACTCGGGCGGGCGCGGTATCATGGCAACGTCGACAACGGTAGACACGATGAGGATAGTAGCGATGCTGGTGACGATGCTGACAGCGACGACGGGGCAACCAATGACGGCGCCATGCTGATCACACCGAAGACGATGACCGCGTCTTCGCGTCGATGATGAAGGTTTCGGAAGAAATTCGAAATACGCGCGCGGCAGACGCGCGAGAGTGGTTCGCACGGTATTATTTGACACGGATCGTGCCACCCCAGCACGGGCGCAAGGGCGCCCGAACGATTTCGACATGCGCGCGCGAAGCCCGTTTGGTAGCACTGTATGAAAGTATTGGAAAACGCATCGTTTTTTTAAGAATTCGCATGAGCGCGCGCGCGCTGTTGTTGAAAGTCCGTGTTGCGAAACCCTTTTGTTGTTTTATGTGTTTGGGCACTCGGTTTTGAAATCCGTCCGAAACCTAAGGCTTTTGAAGGATTACGACATGCGCGCGACGACGCGCGCGTGTGCTCGTCGTCCCATTTGTGCAAGGGATTCTTGAAAACTTATGATGTTTGATAAACGAGTGCGCGCGCATAATTTGTGGCAAGAGAGCCGAGGGGCGGCTTATACCGGCCTTGCTGGGATAGTATGACTTCGCAGGTCAGATGGACATTGGGTCACAATCCCATGTGTTTTGCATCGGCTCCCGGTGAGGGGATAAGTCCGGGGGAGGGATGGTGGTAAAACCTCTCTTCTTTTTTGGGGGGGAAAGGAGAATCGATGTCATGTTGTGCGGCACATGTTGTACATTCTGTGTGGGGGGCGGCGACGGGGTGGCGAAGGCGGCCACAAGCGCGGCCACTGACAGACAGGCCCAGACGACGGGCAGCGACGGGGTGGCGACGGGGCGGCGACGGCGGCGACAAGCGCGGCCACCGACGGACAGGCCCAGGCGACGGGCGGCGACGAGGCGACGACGGGGCGGCGACGGCGGCGACATAGCCGCCAGACTAATCGACAGATTCTGACGACGGGCAGCGACGAGGCGACGACGGAGCGGCGACGGCGGCTACATAGCCGCCAGACCCACAGACAGGCTCAGTTCCTTAGAGCAGAAGTAAGAATCCCCAAGCGTAGGCGCTTCACGAGGACGACGAGAGGAGGAACGCTACGACGACGACAACTACAACGACGACGACGAGGAGGGAGGAGGAGGAGGAGGAGGAGGAGAAGGGAAGCGCTCTGCCGTAGCAGATCCCTATAGGCATGCGCGTTCTGCCGTAGCAGATCCCTGCAGTTATCTGCTATCCGAGCTGTCTATGGGACAAAAAACACGCTGTGGAAAAACACAAACAACAAAACACACACACACTGTGTAAAAACACTGAACAAAATGCAGACTGTGGGAAAAACACCAGCTACTCTGTGGAAACAACACACAGAAACCCATTTTGCTCTTCCACAAAAAACACACTGCGCTCTTTGCCCACAGGCTATTCCTGAACATTCCCAGACGGCGCCGTCGCGAAACGTGATCCGGCCCACCCCCCCTGGTGAAGCTCGCTGTCGCCCGGGAATTGAAACAAACGCCCTCCACCGAGGAGAGGGCGGGGAGGGGGAGAAGGCAGAGGAGGGCAGGGGCGAGGGCAGGCCAAACCGCAGACCCGTCGTCGCGGCCTTTCTTCGCGGCGCGAGGTGGTCAAGGCTCCACCTCCTCCAGCTCGCGCGCGCCTTCCGTAGCAACTCATGGGAGCCGCCCGTGTCATCTTCCTGGCTCTCACGAATCGGTGCTAACCGGCGCTGGCTAACGCCAATCGACGCCAACCGACGCTGAATCGGCGCTTTCTCCTCGACTGCCAGACGCTAGCGCACGCGACTGCAGTCTAAAGTCGAAACTGCGAGGACATACCAGGCTCCAACGACCGGCGACACACAAGGGTGACCCTAGGCAAGGGTCTCTGGTGCGCGGCTATAGGGGGGCGCTGCGGGGGCAAACCGAAGCGCGCGCGCCGCTACTATGGCATCGCGCTCAACGATCGAGGGCCCCAGATGGGTCCGCACCAGAAAGGTCACTAAGGCGAAGGGTCACCTCTACGTGTAGCCGACATGAGTTGCTGCCGAACCCTCCCCCAGCTCGATCAGCATGAAAGACACGTGTCCTGTGGGAAACGGGTCGTGGACCCCGGGGCCTTCCCCCACGACCAGGTCTTCAGCCTGAGTCGTTTTTGAACCTTGCCATCTCTTGGGAGGCCAATTTTTACGCCCGCCGGTTCTGCCGGCATTCCGCCAGCTCCCGCCGGCGGAGGCGGCCTCGCTCTGCTTGGGCCGCCTTCCGCCGCCCCTTCCGCCGAGAAAGGGGCACCAGCTCCCTCGATCCTCGAGGGCGAGGCCCTTCCTGGAATGCCCCACGCACGTGTCGCCGACATGCCCTGCTCCCGAACCCTCCCCCGCATCGCGCGCGCCCCTGGGAGCGGCGCCAGCCTCCCCCGGCTCGCGGGCAACCCCACGGCGGGGTTGCTCCCCGCTCCTCCAAATCCTCAGGCTTCTTTAGAACAGGCGCGAACGGCATAGCTCGGCGGCGGAAACCCGCGATGTCCCATGGAAACGGGACCTGCCGCTGATCCACGCCCCCTTCATCCATATTTGCGATCGCCTGACTCTTTCCTCCTCCCCCCTCCCCAGACCCCCGACTTCATGATTTTTTCATGACGTCGACCCCGCAGAGGTCTCGACCTATTCCCCGGGACAGGCTTTTCATCCCGAATCGTTTTCTGACGGTCCCGAGGCCCTGCAAGGGCCCCCAGGGGCCGAACGTTGCAGAAAACCTCCCGTCGTGATGTCTTCATCACTCGAGGGGGTCTGGGCCCTCGGAGATCCCCCCTTGCTCGCACGCCCCCTCGGGGGGGGCGCCGCCCGCCTTCCCGCGGGCGCGCGCGCCTGCCCCCGCGGGCGGGGCGGGGGGCCCCGCCTGCGGAAGAGCCCGCCGCTCTGCAGCCCGAACTCCCGGATCCAGCCGCCTCGGGGGGGCGCACGCGCGGGGGCGCGCTCTCGGGGGGACAGGCTCGGGTCGGGCGTGTCCCCCTGCAGGGGGATTTTGGGCGAAAAATGAGAAATAGTCCACACATGCTCTCAAACTGTTCAAAAAAGGTTTAAACAAAATCGTCCCCAGACCATTTTCGAACTACTTTGGGGTATTCCTCCTGTAGAGGGACGGGTCCGACCAAAGGATAGACGAGCGCGCTCCACGACTCGCAAAGCAACCACTCACAAACGGCCTGGGTCCGCCGTGGGGGGATCTACGATACCGTTCATCGACACGAGCATCTGCCTTTCGGACGCCCTGCGAGTGGGCACTTTTTGCGAGCGAATGGTGGAACGCGCTCGGTGCGGGGAGGCAGGGCAGCTCGCGAGCGGCGAGCGTGTCCAGATTCCCCCGCTGCTGAGGTTCTTGGCCGTCCGCCACGGCGCGCGTGGGAAGCGAGAGGCGAGCGGCGTGGGCCCATCCTCGGGCGCCGTGGCGTCGAGGCGAAGGGCCCCGGAGCGCAGAGCCCGCTCGCCGTCGTGGTAAAACGGCGCGGGGTGAGCTTCGCAGGACGTGGAGCAAGCTGGTCCTGCAGCAGGGGCGAGCGCGGGGCGAATTCACCCCCGACGTCTACTGCGATGGTCACAAAACTTTGGGAACGCCACTGTATCCACGCTCTCGCGGTCTACACGCCGGGGCGCGATCCTACGGACACGCGACCTCACGTGTGCGCTCCGCGCGGGGCATCCGCGGGAAAACGCCCCGCATTCGCGCGGTCGCGGCCCGGGGGGCCGGCCCGCGAGGCCGCGGAGGCGGATATGTTTCCCACCCACGAGCAGATCAGTGGCACGCGCGTTGTCCTTCAAGCTGCGCTTTCCTGGGATGTCGGCGCTGCAGTATTTTCGAACCTGGCGCTGTCGCCCGGACCCTCGGATCCCAGGACCATCACGCACCGATCAGGCTCGGAAGAATCTCCGCAGAAAGACGGGGTCCAGGGCATCGGGCTCTGGTCGTGGTTCTTCCATGTTGCAATGTTTCGCAGCGTCGGAGCCCGGGGCTCGTGGACACAAGCACTGCTTTCTCAACTGGAGCACGCTGGCAGGGTCGTCTGACTGGCGTGACATGAACCCTAAAGGGGCCCTGGGAAACACAAAGAGATACACACAAATAATAAGATTCCCCATATGTTCCCATCTGTTCTAGGTTTTTGTCTTCCCCCCCACCACTTCCCATATTTTCCCATACTTCCTGGGGAATCGATGATTCATTGTGCCTGTGTGTTCTCTTCCCTCCTGAAAGCCGCCGACCCTGTCGGCTTGCGCGAAGGGTAGCTCTGGGCCGGCTGTCCCCGGGGCAGTCCCGGGAGACGCCCGTTCGATCGAAACCTGCCCTCCCCTCCCAGCGGCCACCTCTTGGCTCTCCGACCTCGCAGGCCCGAGGTGGACCGAGCCGTGCCGTGATCGAGCCGAGGAGGGGCTCCTGCCCTTTCGTCGGTTCCCTGCTGGGGTTGGAGGGTCCGGGGAGGGCCCCGGGGAAGAGGGGGGGGGCTTGGGAAGAGCACGTCCGCCCGGGAGGAGCGCTCCCCTTCCTCTCTTGGGGCAGTCTTCCAGCCAGTCCGGCCCGCCCTCGGCATCTGAAACTCAAGAGGCCCAGGATGGCCCCTTTGACGGCCCAAGAGGGCTTCAGAACAGCCAAAGAGGGCCCCCAGAGGATCCCCACGAGGGCCCCAACAGGCAAAAATCAATGTTGGTCCTAAGAGTTTGACTCATTTTAGCAATCTTGCCTGCTCGGTCTTGCAACGCTCCAAGGCGGTCAAAAAGTCTTCGAAATCGCCCCAAGACGGCCCAAGAGAAACCAAGAGGGCCCCAAGACGGCCCTTGAGGGCCCCAAGAGAGGGAACAAGAGCTGACATTTCGAGCCAGCTGCCATGACCCCCAAGACCGCCAGCAGGCCCCCACGAGGCCCCAAGGAGGCCCCCACCCAAGAGGCCTACAAGAGCCTTCGAGAGGACACCGAGAAGCACCCCAAGAGACCCGAATACTGCATGTACCGATGAATGCATTCAAGAGGCATCTGGTCCACCATCCTGTTGGCGGAATGAACCGAAGGCCACTAGACCTACTTGGCACGGGGACGGAAAGCGAAACTTACTTTGCGTTGGCGCGAGCTCGTTGGCTTGTCCGTTTGTCCTCCTCTTACGTCCTCTCTTCCCTCGCCCTTGTCGCATCTTCGGGGTGTCTTGGGGCCCTCTTGTGAAGTCATGGGAGACTCTCGGGCCGTCTTCGGACCCTCTTGAGCCGTCTTGGAGTCCGTTTGGGAGCCTCGTGGGCCGCCTGAGAGCGATACCAAGACGACGTCGACAACATCTCATTTTGTGGGGATGTCCATCGCGAAATTAATCAAAAATGTCCTCGGCGCTGCCGTTTTGATAGGCCTGGCCATTTCAGCCCGCCTGGCCTTTTCAACCCGCCTGGGCCTTTGGACCCGCCTGGTCGTTTTGACCCGAATGTCCGCTTCAAACCGCAGGGCCACTATGGTCACGTGACTGTTTTCATCGAATGGCCATTTCAACCAGCCTGGCCACGCTGACATCCTTGGCCGTTTTAGACCGCCTGGTCGTCTCAAACCGCCTGGCCGTTGTAACCTGACTGGCCGTTGGAAGCCGCAGGGGCGCCTTGACTCGCCTGGCCGCTCCAAATTGCTGGACCGCTCTAACTCGCCCGGCCGTTTTAACTCGCCTGGCCGTTTGAACCCGCCTGGCTGTTTCAACCCCCGTGGCCGCTTTGACCTGCCTGGCAATTTTCACCCGCCTGGTCGTTTCATCCGCCTGGCCGCGCTGACATCCGCGGCCGTTTTAACCCGCCCGGCCGTTTTAAGCCGCCTAGCCGTTTGAGCCCGCCCAGCAGTTTTTTAAAGCCGCCTTGCTGTTGGAACCAGCCTGTTCACTTTAACCCGCCTGGCCGTTTGAACCTGCCTGTTCATTTGAGCCGCCTGGCCTTCTCAGCAGCCTGGTCGTTTCAACCCCACTGGCCGCGTTAAAACGCGCCTGGCCAGCCTCGCGGGAAGTTTTGGAGCGGTTCCAAGACGGCGTCGACAACATCGCATGTGTGAGATGATTCCCTGGAGAAATCGCCATGCTGGACACGAGAGATATCAAGACGATGCCGACAACATCTCGTTGGTTGGGGATGTCCCGAGTTAAATCGCAATGCTGGGCAAGACCGAGACCAAGAGGACGTCATCTGTGTGACGATGTCCTTAGCGAAATCCCCACGTGGGGCAAGAGCGACGTCGACAACATCTCATGTGTGTGAAGCGATCCCAGTAGAGGATAATTGTGTGAGGATGTCCCGAGCGCCATCGTCAATTTGCCAATTAGACCTGGCCAGGCACAGAAACGGAAAGAGCGCTTCAGAAACAGAAACCGAAATTCCTCACACCACCGTTCGAACTGGGAGCCTTGGCGTTGAGAGCTTGTTACGTCACCCCTCGCACTTGGGAGCCTTGGTGTTCAGAGATTGTTGCGTTGCCGCCCGTTCCTGAACCTTGGCTGGGCCTTGGTGTCAGGAACTTGTTACGTCACCGCTCTCTGCTGGGAGCCTTGGTCTTATCAGCTTGTTTACGTCACCGTTCGCTCTTGGGAGCCTTGGTGTGAAGAGCTTTTTGCGTTACCGATCGCTCTCTATTTGGCGTCTCTGGGCCTTCTTGGGAGTCCTATTGGGGCCCTTGTCGGGCCCTTTTGGAGGCCTCTTGGGAACCTCTTGGGGGCCTCTTGGGGCTTCTTGGGGGGCTCTGGGGGCCTCCTGGGAGCTTCTTGGGGCGAAAGGCTAAACTTTTCGGTTCGTGGTCCCCCTCTTGGGGCCGTCTTGGGGCCCTCTTGGGCCGTCTTGGGCGCCTCTTGGGCAGTCTTGGCGCCCTCTTGGGCCGTTTTGGGGGCCTCTTGGGAGCCTCTTGGGCCGCTTTGGGGCGGTCTTGGGGGCCTCTTGGAGCGTCTTCAACGCAGTGAAAGCCGAAAAGCCTTGCATGCTAAAAATGTACCTTTTCTCATAGGAAGTCAATGATTTTCGCCTCCCGGTGGCCTCTTGAGACGCCTCTTGGGGGCCTCTTGGGGCTTCTTGGGGGGCTCTGGGGGCCTCCTGGGAGCTTCTTGAGGCGAAAAGCTAGACTTTTCGGTTCGTGGTCCCCCTCTTGGGGCCGTCTTGGGGCCCTCTTGGGCCGTCTTGGGCGCCTCTTGGGCAGTCTTGGCGCCCTCTTGGGCCGTTTTGGAAGCCTCTTGGGAGCCTCTTGGGCCGTCTTGGGGCGGTCTTGGGGGCCTCTTGGGCCGTCGTCAACGCTGTGAAAGCCGACAAAGCGCACATGCTAAAAATAAATGCTTTCCTCAGGAAATTCGATGATTTTGGCCTCTTGGGGCCCTCTTGGGACGCCCCTTGGGCGCCTCTCGGGGGCCTCTTGGGGGCCTCTTGGGGGCCTCCCGGGAGCGTCTTGGGCGGTCTTGGGCTCTCTTGGAGCGCTCTTGGGCCGTCTCGGGGGGGAACCCGAAAAACATACAAAAACCTGAGGGAAAACCCCAAAACGGCCATTAACACGCAGGTCCACACGCTTCGCCCCTCTCCTGGAACCCCTCCCTTTAGGGCTTCGCCCACACCAGAACGTCATCACTCGTACCTTGCTCTTTCCGTTACCTGGCCCAGCACAGAAAAGGAAAGAGCGCTGCAACAACAGAAACCGAAATGACTCACACCACCTTTCGTACCGTGAGCCTTGGCGTTGAGAGCTTGTTACGTCACCCCTCGCTCTTGGGAGCCTTGGGGTTCAGAGACGGTTGCGTTGCCGCCCGTTCCTGAGCCTTGGCTGGGCCTTGGTGTCAGAACCTTGTTACGTCACCGCTCTCTGCTGGGAACCTTGGTCTGATCAGCTTGTGTACGTCACCGTTCGCTCTTGGGAGCCTTGGTGTGAAGAGCTTTTTGCGTTACCGATCACTGGCGTCTCTGGGCCTTCGTGGGAGTCCTATTGGGGCCCTTTTCGGGCCCTCCTGGTGGCCTCTTGGGAGCCTCTTGGGGGGCCTGGGAGCGTCTTGGGGCGAAAGGCTAGACTGTCGGGTTCGTGGTCCCCCTCTCGGGGCCGTCTTGGGGCCCTCTTGGGCCGTCTTGGGCGCCTCTTGGGCCGTCTTGGGGCCCTCTTGGGCCGTTTTGGGGGCCTCTGGGGAGCCCCTTGGGCCGTCTTGGGGCGGTCTTGGGGGCCTCTTGGGCCGTCGTCAACGCCGTGAAAGGCGAAAAGCCGTATATGCTAAAATCTACGTTTTCCTATGGAAAATCTATGGTGTTGGCCTCTTGGGGCCCTCTTGGGACGCGCCTTGGGCGCCTCTTGTGGGCTTCTTAGGGGCCTCTTGGGCCGTCTTGGGCGGTCTTGGGCTCTCTTGGAGCGCTCTTGGGCCGTCTTGAGGGAGAATCCGAAAATCATGTAAAAACCCAGTAAGGAAAACCCCCAAAACGGCCATCAGAACTCATTGTCCCGCGGTACGCCCTCCCTGGACCCTTAAGGGGCTTCGCCCAAAATACAACGTCATCACTCGTACCTCGCTCTTTCCGTTACCCCTGGGGCTACATTTGCCAACCCCCTCAAACTCGCCCTACATTCATTCGTCCGACTAACGGATCGCACGCTAGGCTCGCTTTCCGTCACTACACATCCCAACCCCCTCAAACTCTTCCTAATTTCATTTCTCCCGACTAACGGATAGGACGCCAGGCGCGCTTTCCGTCATCCCTGGGGCTGTGCTTTTCTCGCTTTCGTTCTCTCAGACGCCGCGTGCGTCAAGGCCGCCCTCTACAATGGCGATCTTCTGCCGCTCGCGCGCGTCGAGCCTCATGCGGATCTGCTTGAGGACGTAATCCTTCAGGCTCGCCTCGCTGAGGCCGAAGTTGAAGTGGTCCGCCAGGTTGGCCCCCGGCATTCTCCAGGGCGTGTCGCCCATCTCCGCGGTGTCCATCACGAACCGTATCTTCGAGAGGATGGCCTCGGTCCCCTCCGCCACCACGACCGTGTCCGCGCGGCTACCCACGCGCACCAGGCTGCATGCCCCGGCTGGCGAGCACGCGGGCGCCCCAGCGCCCGCCCCGCCATCGAGCTCGGGAGCGAGGTCCCCGCCCTGCACGGCTCCCCTGCCCTCCCACCTCTTGCCGAGGTAATAGCCCATGAGCCCGCCCCGGGGCCCCGGGTCGGCCAGCACGAAGGTGACGTCGTCGCCCTCGTCGTCGCTCTGCTGCTCCTCGCACTTGGCGCCCGGCGCGTCGCCCGTGGCGGGCACCTTCTCCGCGGGCTCACCGCCGCCCTCGCAGGGCCGCTTGCGTGCGACTGGCGCAGAGAGCACCTCCACCTGCAGCTCCTCGCTGGCCAGGGAGCGGTAGACCTCGAGCTCCTCCTCGGGGTGGGGGCTGCCCACCCCGTCTGCCATGCCGTGGAGACGGTGGCGCGGGCGCGCCAGCCGTGCCGAGGGCGGCGATGCGGCGCCGGCACCCCTGCCGCGCCGCCCGCGGGGCCCCTCGAGCCAGAACGGCTGCCGCGGGAGCCAAAACGGCTACGGATAGCGAGATCAGCATCGTCGACGTTGCCGCGGGCTGCCCGATCCGTCCCTGTATGGGGCCTCCCGAGTGGGCCTTTCGTCCCCCCCCTCGGCAAGGCCGAGACCAAGACAACGTCGACGACATCCCATGGTTGGAAGGACTCTTTTCGTGGGCCCCGTAGAACGCGAATCGAGCCGCAGCAGCGGAGCCGGAGCGCGCCCTGCGGGATCGGTGCAGATTGTGCCGGTGGCGCCTCGCGATGTGTTGCCTGACCCCCACGGCCATCTGCGCTGCGGGGAGCACGCCAGGGCAGGCTGTGCCCCGTGTGCCTCAAACAGCACGGCTTGCATGATTTGATCCGCCACGGTGCCGCGTGCACTGAAAGTATTAGGCACTGAGAGCAGTGTCACGAGTGGAAGGATGTCCCTCGCGAAAAGGCCAAAGAGGGATACCACGAAGATGCCACTGGCATCTCGTTGTTTGAGGATGTCCCTAGCGAAATCGCCATGTTTAGCATGATCGATGCGAAGAAGACGTCGACAACACGTCATTGTTGTGAGGATCTCCCTAGCGAGCTCGCAATGTTCTACAAAGTGATGCCGCCCAAATCGCATTGTTGTGATTTCGTGCCTGGTAAAATTACCGTTTGGGCCAAGACCAAGACCAAGACGGCATCGACAGCATCTCAGTTTTGTGAGGATGCCCGAAGCTAAATCGCAATGTTGGGCAAGAGCGATGCCGCCAACATCTCATCGTTTTGAGCATGCCCCTAGCGAAATCGTCATTTGCTGGCCAGAAATAGGGCGTGTAAGAGCTATCTGGTTGGGCTATGTTGGGCCGCCTTAGGGACTTCCGCGAGAGATCCCAAGACATATCATTTGCACCCCCCTGGGATTACACATGCAAACCCCCTCACCCCCCCCCTATTTCGTTTCTTCCGACTAACGGATCGCACGTTGAACGCGCTTTCCGTCATTCCTGAGACTACACATGCCAACCCCCTCAAATTCTCCCTAGCTCCAAGTCTGCCAACCAACGGATCGCACGCTAAGCGTGCTCTTCGTCATCCGCCGCCCCCTGTGGCTTGCCACTGCGGTGCACTGCGCGCCAAATTCAAAATTGTCGTTTGCCCTTTTCAAAGCTTCCCAGTGGGCATTCGGCCGATCGCGCCGGCCTCCCTGGAGGACTCGTAAACTTCCCAGTTCATCGGTCTTCCCGCTCCAGACGGTCCCAAGATACCCTCCGAGGCACCCCATAAGGACCCAGAATCTTCCCAGGTCATCGATCTTCCTGCTCCAGTACGGCAAAGGCAAAGATGGCTGAAGATGACCTCCAAGATATCTCCAAGACGTATACGATGGCCCCAACAGAGCCCGAGGTGGCCGCAAGATGTCTCCAAGAAGGGCCCAGATGCCCCCAAGATGGCCCAAGACGGCCCCCAAGAGGCGTCCAAGATAGCCCAGAAGCCCGCAAGAGGCCTCCAAGAGAGCCTCCAGGAAAGCCCAAAGAGATCTCTCTTCCTAATTTTCTTTCTCCCTCACGTGTTCCCCGAAGCGTTTCCACAACAGCTGGGGGAACACAAGATCCGATGGCTTGGCCGAGCTCTGGCCACAACGTTCGGACACACAGGTGATTCCAAACGGCAGGGGGCGGCGGTGAATCGCCATAGGCATCGCATCTTCGATCCGCCGCCCTCGGTGGCCTGACACAGGGGTACGCGGCGTGCCAACGTTGGAATTGTTTTGGTAATTTCAAAGGTTCCCACTAGGCCTTCGGACGATCGCGCCAGCACGGAAAGAGGACTCGCAAACTTCCCAGGTCGTCGATCTTCCCGCTCCATGCGGCCCAAAACTGGCCTCCAAGACGACCAAGATGGTCTCCCAGACGGCTACGATGGCCCCAAGAGGGCCCAAGGTGGTCCCAGGATGTTTCCAAGAGGGGCCGAGATGCCCTCAAGATGGCTGAAAATGGCCCAAGATGGCCTCAAGATCGCCCAAAACAGCCCAAGAGGCGTCCAAGACGGCCGAAGCAAGATGACCTCTAGGAAAGCCCGAATCAGCAAGTTCCCTTTTGGTTTTGAAGGATTTGGGATGGCCAATGGCTTGGCCGAGCTCTGGCCGAGCTCTGGGAAAATCCGAAGCCCTCAGAGGAGTCCGGGGGCGGCAGGGGTGGGTCGGGCCCCAATGGCTTCCAGAATGCCTCCCCGAGGTGCCAAGACGGCCCCAAGACAACACCAAAATAAATTCAAGTGGCCACGGAACCTCCCAAGGAGATCCACGAAAGCTCCAAATCAGTCAAGAACAGGTGTTTCCAACGTTGTTGACATCTCGTCCTTTCGAAGTCCTTTTGATGCTGGTCGACACCCAAGGCGTCAAGATGGCTCCAAGATCGCCGAGGGAGCGCGATCCACCGCCGCTGGCTTGGAAAAACCGTGTGAAAAGGAGGGGTCAGAAACAACCGGACACCCCCTCCCTTTTAGAAAGAATCCCACACGGGGGCAGTCAGAAACCGGGGGAGCCCCACCCCCCGAACCTCGCCCCCGAAGCCCACCCACCTCCGCAAAGACCCTGGGGCGTCCGGACTCCCCCTTCTGGAAAATTGTTCGGGGTGGTCCAGGATCCCCCCCCCTCAGCCAAGTATTCGGGAAGTCCAGAAACCCCCCTCTCCCTCCCCGCCAGCAGCGACGACGACAACGACGACGACAACGACGACGACGACGACGACGACGACGACGACGGAGACGACGACGACGCCAAGGAGGCGACGACGTCAGCGGCGGCAACGGCTCACCTGTCGCCAGCGCCCGCGACAGGGGCTGGCTCTTATAAGGTATAACTGGGGCTCGAGCCAGCTCTCTCTCTCTCTTTTTCTCTCTCTCTCTCTCTCTCTCTCTCTCTCTCTCCCTCTCAAAAACCTACGAGGGCCCTGCTGTACTATACCCCCCACTCTATTCTACCCTACTCAACTCTGCTATCGCCTCCTCTGCTCTGATTTACCCTGGCCTACTCTACCCTACTCTACCCTGCCCTACCGTACCCGAATAGACTCTACTCTACTATCCTTTGCCCCTACTCCACTCTGCTAAACTTCTACTCTACTCTACTCTACTCTACTCTACTCAGCTCTGCTCTACTTTACTTAATTATTGTTCTGCTCTACTTTGCGCATCTGCTCTTCTCTGCTCGACTCTCTCTACTCTACCCTGCCTTGCTCTGCTCAGCCCCTCCGTGCCCCACCCTACTCTTCTCGGATCTACTCTGCCCAACTCTACTCTTGTAATACTCCACTCGGCGCCTACTCTACTCTGATCGTCATCGACGCCGTCGTCTTCGTCTCCTTCGTCGTCGTCGTCGTTGTCGTTGTCGTCGTCATCGGCGGCGTCGTCGGCGTTGTCGTCGTCGGCATCGGAGTCGGCGTCGGCAAGGAACGTCGATGTCGGTGTCGACGTGGGCGTCGTCGTCGTGCATCGTGCGTCGTGTGCGTCGACCGTGTCGTCCTTGTCGTCGCCGTCGTCGTCGTGTGCGTGCGTCGTCGTCGCCGTCGTTGCCAGGGGGACGGGGAGGGGTATGACCCGCGGTTCGCGCGACTACAACCAATGCTGCCTGTGTTTCAACAAGCATCATCTAAAAAACTGCACTAAATTGCGCGTCAAGTCCTGGAGAAGCAGACTTCGAGAATCATGTGTATCGTAAAACTCCGACAGCACCCCCACACTGTAAATCCATTTTAAGTTAGTTGTGAGAGGCCTACAGTGGCCCCCACACGTAAAATTCTGGTTGGGTTGCCTGTACAACGAGATCCCTTGTGTGACGACCTTACCAAGGGTTTAGAATGTAAGGGATCTGCACTGGTGGCGCCCTGAGCCCAAGAAAGCGAGAGAGGAAACCGTGAAACTAACAACAATGAAAAAACTTGAAAAGCATGTCTGCTCATAGAACGTTGCTTTCAAACCGAACAATTGATGGACACCTGTTGCTGTCGCTCTGTCGCTCGTTTTCTGGTGCCAACGCGCCACGATTCAGATCCCATTGCAGCAGCCGTCACACTATTGGCTTCTTGTTTGGCGGCGACCTTACAGAAGGATTGTATGTTTTGGGGGGGCTGCTGTTGCCTCCACAATTGCAACCCTGTTGCAGCAGCCTTCGCAACAAGATTATGCTTTTTGTGGCGGCCCCACAACAGGATGCAAGTGCGGGGGACCTGCAGTGGCCTCCACACAGAAAGTCCTTGAGTCACAGCCTGTACGTGGGGATTCTTTGTTGTGGCGACCTTACACGGGTGTCGATTGTCAAGGGTCTGCCAGGGTGGCGCCGTGCGCCCAAGAAAACTGGACAAGAAAACAGAAAAATTCACGAAGCACATTAAACACGTGTGCTGCCACATGGGAGGGTAGGACAAACTGATGAACACCTGTGGATGTCGCTATTGCTGGTGGCACCGATGCGCCAAACTTCAGACCCTCATGCAGAAACCATGTAGACACCATTACAATAATGTTCCTTTGTGGTGAGCTCGCAACATACTGTTATTGGGGGCCCGCAATGGCCTCCACAATTGAAATTCTGCCGTAGCCAACTTTTACGTGGGGATTCCTTCTGGGGCGACCTTACAACAGAATTTGAATGTGGGGATCTGCAAAGGGCGTCATGGGGTGCCAGCTGCCGGGAAGATGCAGTGGTGGCGCCCTGAGCCCAGGAAAGCCGAAAAGGAAAAAACAACGGACACAAGACCAACAGAAAAAGACGCTCTTCTCACAGAGGCTACTCGAGATACTCGAACCCAGCATGTGAATGTCGCTACGTTCATGGCGCAACTGTGCCACAATGACAATTCGTTTTGTGAGGTCGCCTCAAACGGATTGTTGGTAAACGCTGGTACAAAAAAAACTGCTTCCACGTTTAGAGACCACAGCAGGTCCTCAGCACTATGAAACCAATATTCTGCAAGCTCGCCACAACAGAAACCCATAGTGTACAAGCTGCAGCACAAGGATATCAAGTGTGGCGCATCTGCACCATCACCAAAACGACGGCCACAAGTGTTCTTCAGTC